GATGGCCTCCACCATAGTAGCGATCAACCTAAGAGCGATGGCCTCCAACCTAAGCGCGATGGCCTCCACCATAGTAGCGATCAACCTAAGAGCGATGGTCTCCAACGTAAGAGCGATGGCCTCCAACATAGTAGCGATCAACCTAAGAGCGATGGTCTCCAACCTATTATATAGCGATGGTGTTTGCAGGCCAGCATCCCAAGCGGCCAAAGCTGGGAAGAAGAGAAAAGATGTGGATCAAGGACACCTTTTCATGCAAGTGGTCTTTTTGTTTAAGCTTTTTGCGCGTCTATGTTTTTTTTGACATGTGTTTCCCGGAAGAACGGCTACCGACTTCCAATGTCTAGCCATCAACTGTCGAACCACCATCAGCATCATCACCATCATCATCACCATCACCATCACAATCATCAGTATCAACATCAACATCAACGTCAACATCATCATCACATGAATCATCATCATCATCATCATCATCATCATCATCATCCTCCTCCTCGTCGTCGTCGTCGTCGTCATCATAATCTCATCATCATCACCACCATTACCGTCACCATCACCGTCACCGTCATCGTCATCATCATCATCATCATCATCATCATCATCATCATCATCATCATCATCTCATCGTCGTCGTCGTCGTCATCGTCATCGTCATCGTCGTACAGTATAGTACGGTACAGTAGCAGAGATGTAGGTATTACAACTGCTTTAACACACCTACACAGGAACTGGTGCTTGGATGCAAGTGTTGAGATACATGTTTGGATACAGGTGTGGAGATACAGGTGACGACACCTACAAAACTCATCTACACAACCAAAAATACAGGTGTTGAGTTGAGGTACAGGTGAAGACACCTACACAACTACAACTTCGACATTTGTCTAATCTTCTCTTTCGGGGGGCGGGGTGGCCCGGTCAATGCTCACGAAACGCGACCCTTTGCGAAGATTGCGTGAGTCAACTGTGGTATGCCAGCAGTCTTAATCCTTGGACGACCTTCTGTGGAGATCGTGCGTGTCGAGTGCTCAAGCGTGAAGTGAAGTGCGAGTTTTTTGGTGCGCAGTCTACCCTTTGGGGGGGACCATGGGTGTCGAGTGGCTCTGTGCCATGGGGAAACGAAAAGCATGCGTGCATAAACGCAGCGTGTTGTCGGGGAGCGTGATGCAAAGTGTGTCTCACAAGGAGTGCTCACAACCTGTCCCACAAGACTGTCCTACAAGAGTGTGCCTGCTAGAGTGCTGTGCATGAGTGCCCCATGAGGTATACCTTCAGATTGTCACATCTATTTTATCTTGCCATTGGCACCATTGTGGTTGTTTTTAGTATCACAATCGCCGTCATGGTCGGCACCCACATCACCGTTACCTTGCGTCATCTCCCAATGTGCTTCGGGGCCACCCTGTCGTCTAGTTCCTTTTTTCCTTCCTTCTATCAGGCTTTATGGTCCACAGCTAGCTTGTGATAGCTTGAAGCTGAAGATCGGGATGTTGAATTCAGTTGAGGTCTTCTCAATCACTGTCTCTATTTTCCTTCTGGCTAAGCACACAGTAGCCGAGGAGCCAGCGGGCTCGCTTATATGACCAGCCGCCTGACTTATTATTCAAATTCTTCAGGGGTGTAGCTTGAGATCCTTCGTGGACGTTGTTGGAAGTCTCTTGCAGCTATTGCCAAACAGTTTGTTTTTATCGTTCAACTACAATGTATCAACGCCAGAGATGGTTTTCAAGAGTCTGCAAATCTGTACAGTGAGAGAGAGAGAGAGGGATTGAGTAGCGTTGCGAAGTGGATAAGCAAGATGAACGGTACTAGAACAAAAGCTTTCGGCGGACCATAGTAGAGCCATTGAACCACGAGTGGCGAAAGGTTATGAGAGCGCGGTGCTCGCGGAATACGTTTGGCTCGACGCGAAGCAAGTCCCAAGGCCGGCAGGAAGGTGTTGTTGGAGGGTGCCAAATCACGCAACGGTGTAACGTCCCTTGCTAGGCTCCATGAATTGAACATGGCCTTAACTATATCCCTTCCATCCCCTTTCCACAAGCAAAGAACGTGTTTTGAAACAAGAACGCACCACTCAACTATAGTTTCTAGTTTCACTTCGCAGGTCAAAGACCATGACCATGACCACCTTGCCCAAATCCATCGAAGGCAAAGATGGGTGTGACCATTGCATCGAGTTTTTGTTTATTGAAGATGTTTTTCGATCACCTCGGCTAGGTTTGCGGGTTTGGAACTATGACGGGAGCAGCACTGAGCAGGCGGATGGCCATAACTCTGTGGCTCGGCGAACTGTGAAATGCTGTGCATTGACGTTGAGGTGAGGTTCATTGTTTGGAGACTGAATTTAAACAATTGTTTTTGTGATCATCTATGCCGAGAGGTGATCGAGTTTCTTTCACTCTTCAGGAAATCTATTTGTATCCCAAAGCAATCTTCAAGGACGGTGAAGCGAGCACCATGTCACCATGTCGGATAATCACATGCTGCCGCAAGTTAAGCTTTGTTGAATTTTGTTGTAGTTGTAATGCTGCCCAGCGAAACGTACCACTTCCGGAGGTTTGAGTATCGAATGAAGGACCCGTTTCGTGGGCGTCCACATATTCTTGTGCTTGCTGAAGCCTACAATGCCTGGGATGGGCAGCCGGCCATTGGCAACACGCCACTGGTTTGAATTGATGGCCTCCAATCTAGTAGCGATGGCCTCCAACCTAATAGCTTTCCCAGCGATTCTTGGGTAGAGAAACTGTGGACAGACCTCAGGCGAGCAGAGTGCAAGAAGATCATGGATCAGTGCCCGAGACACTGAGTTGTAGCAGTAAAATACTGACCTCAAATCTCGTTTGGCAAAGGTACAAAGATTTGGATCCATGGTTTGGCATTGAGCAGGAATACACCCTCATGAGGCACGGAGAATTGTACGACCGGCTTGAAGAAATTGCTGTTTGGCTTGGTCGCTGCGCGTGGATGTTCAGCAAACATCTCACATCATCTCACGCTTGATCCATTGGTGAACGATTTTCTTCGATCGATTTCAGGCCCGGACGGATTGGTGAGGAGCCAAAGGTTCCACTTGGCTTCAACGCCGATGGAACAGAGCCAGCACCACAAGGACCCTACTACACCGGAGCAGGCTCAGTCAACCACGTGAACAATTTTGTGTTTATAGCGCTACTAGCAGCATATTTTTACATTTGATGTGGTTGTCCTTTTGAGCACGAGATGTTTGTAAACAGCATGCTTTTTGCATGGTAGACGGTAGACGTTTGAATTTAGCCATTCACATCCTTGTTGGATTGCGGCAGCAGCCAATACTGTCATGGAAGCTGGTTAGCGAGGTGGTCCAAGTCGCCAACACAAAAGCACAGTTTTGATCGATTTGATATTAGATTGAATCCAGAAAGAGGTAGAGGATTCTGCTCAAAGAGCAACGAGCAATCAGAACATAGAGATCACAGATGATCACAGCGATTTCCCAATCCGCAGATGCATGGGATGAAGCGTTTCCCACTCCGTGAATCAGAGTGAGATGCCGAGCTGAGCTTGGAAAGGAGGTACAGGAGACCTAATGGGCTGAGGCTTTCTGTGAAACGTGCCATGAGAATCTTCGGCCATGCCTCAAAGGCACCTGAACTTGCAGCTCAAAGAGCAGAAACGGGCACATGCGTGGCACGAGGCCATTCAGTTGCTGGTTCGGGCGCGGCAAAGCCGTTGGGATCCGGATGTGATTGGCTACACTACTGCCATCCAGGCATGCGATCGAGACGCTGGGTGCAATTTCAGCTGTTTTCCGGTTTTAGTACATGTCGTATTACGTAATCCTTCATCAGAACCCCCGTAAAAAACATAAGCTGCTCAACTTTCAGATGTTCAGATGCTGCTCAAATGCCCAGGCAGCCTCTTGGACTAGAAGCCTCGAACTTTTGGACGAGATGCTTGCTTCTTCGACCCTACCCAACTTGATCACTTACAGCAACTTGATCAATTCAAGCATTCATTGGAGAGGTTGGGCGGGATTTTTATGTTTGTTGGAGAAGGTCCAAGATCTCGGCCCAGATTTACAGTTCCTGAATGCCAGCATCGTGGCGTGTAGTCGATCTTCTGCGTGGCAATTGGCACTTTGCCTTCCAGAGTTCTTCGAAGAAAGGCTCGACTCCTTCACCTTCAGCGCTACCATTTTTGCCTGTGCCCAAGGCATTCAATGGCAGCTGGCCCTTTGGCAAGTGTCCCAATTGGACGAGCATGAATTTCTATTGACAGCTGCAAGCTCGACCTGTGCCACTGCATCAAGATGGCAACTTGCTCTTGATTTGGCCTTTAAAGCGATGAAATGTGAAGCTATGCCCAGTGCAGTGGCTGTGGGCGCGGCAATCAAAGCGTGCGAACGCGGTTCGCAATGGACATTGGCTCTCGCTGCCCTGCAGGAACATCCGGTTGATGTGACCATATGCAGTGCAGCTGTGAGCGCCTGTGAAAAGGCCGGGGACCCGAATGTGTCTCAAGGCAATTGAAAGACATCAGATATGATCATGAAAGTGTTATACATACAAAACATGTTTGTCAATATCAGTGATCCTAGTCAGCTGTTTGCACTTCCCCAAGCAGTCGATTGAGACCGTGTATGATCAAGCTCGTGAGGCACAGCATTGGGAACAGGCAATTTCGATCGTGGAGATGTGCATTCAGCAGCATCTTCAACCGAATTCCCTGCTTTGTGGAGCCGTGATTAGTTCCTGTGAGACCAGTTCCAATTGGCAGCTGGCGCTCCATTTGTTGACTTCAATCCGAAAAAATCATGCCTTAGAGCGGTTGGGAGACACAATGCCAGTAGCTGCAACCATTAGCTGCTGCAGCAAAGGAAGACAGTGGGAGGTGGCATTGGAAGTTCTGAGCTCTTCGAATACCAGGAGTTGTTTCAGAGCTTCTCCTTCTAGTGCGATGTCGCTGGTTTGCCTTACGGCGACCATCGAAGCATGTTCCCTTGGGAACGCTTGGAAGGCTGCAAAATCCCTCTTGGATGCCATGCCGAAAATGCCAACGGAGGACAAGTTGGCCAAGTCTTTGGCAACTCAAATGGTGTCCTTAGCCTCGGAGCAATGTGGTGTTCGATTAGCTCGATCAGCGGAATGGCCTCGAGCACACTTGAACGACCTTCGGGCAGGTCGATCCGATGTGCAGATGGACCGCTTGGCATCTCGTGTTGCTAGGCGTTTGGGCCGAGGTTTGCCCACTGTGCTGATGCAAACGGCATATGTGCGTCATATGTTGGCGGTCACCACCGCAGCGTTTTCTCGCGGTCGAATGCTTTATTCGACAGGAGTGGAACAAAAGCCGTTGGCTAAGCTTCCGGTTTCCCAAAGAATACTTTACTACAGAAACCAAATCATACGTCTCGGGCTTCTTCACGCAAGCTTTGCCCCGCCCTCAAGCGGAGGAACTGTGTTGAAGAAGCCTGAGCCCTGGCGCTAGCCTGCTTACCTCCTTAACCTACTAGCTTACCTAAGCTACGGCCTACCTCCCCGTCGAGCTCGGAAAAAAGACAAGACAACATACACACACGTTGACAATACAGACTCTTTGCAGAGGCTTCAACACTGCAATTGGGCGGCCTGTTGCAGATGAGCACTACAAGAAGTGCTTGGAGGCTGATGGCTGATAGATTCCAAAAATGGCTTGGCCATGGTTGGCGGTGTTGCACGATGTTGCACGCTAAAGCCTGACGACTTCTGCTCCGATTTTTGGGTTTGTAACTTTGCTCTGTTTGAAGGCTGGTGTGAAGATCGCGGGCATCAATGCGGAGGCCAACATCCGACAGATTAGGTTTCCGGACGAGAAGATGACAACGTGGCAGAAATCCTTTCAGAACCAGGTCATGATTGTCATGTATTATGATCGTATCATGTGCCATGTGTGCCATGTGTGCCATGTGCCTTGCTTCTCAGGTAATGCCAGGTCAATGGGAGTTCCAAGTCGGGCCTTGTCGTGGAGTTGAGATGGGCGATCACCTCACCATTGCGCGCCCTTCGCCACAAATCTGGCATGTTATGTGGTTCGTTTTGAAGGGTGCGAACAGTGTGTGTGTGTGTGCTGTGTGTCTTGGGATCTTTTGTTTTTGAGGCTACATCATGCTGCGCATCACGGAATCGCACAACTGCATTTGCTCTTTTTCACCCAAACCCATGGATGGAGATACTTGGATGATCGCATCCAGCTTGCGGATTTGCCCTAAATCAAAGTCGTTTGAGCCCCGTTTGAGCCCTCTTGTAGCGGTTTTTGAAGGCATGTTTCTTTGTTTTTGCCATGTCCAGAGTCCAGAGCATCAAGGATTGGAATGGAGCCGGCTGCCACACCAATTTCTCTGTAAGTCCGATGCGGAAGGAGTCCGCCTCAGCTTTTAATGAAAACGGTTCAAAGTGGCCTCCTGCAAAAAAGCTTTGTACAACAAACAGGTGCAAGTTACCTGAGCCTAGTGGCCTAGTCGCCTAGTGCAGTGACCCGGCATTGTGCTCCCATGTCGCTTCCTGCTCGAAGCTTGGGAGGACGGTGGCTATGATATCATCAACAAGGTGTGTGAGGTTTGGATGCAGCGACGCTACTAGGGGCTCCTGGCCTTACTACTAGGAGCAAGGACGCTACTGGGAGCAAAGGGCATCGCTACTTGGAACAAGGACGCTACTAGGGGTTTGGATGCAAGTTCTGAATATTTGAGTTTATCATAGTCATAGTATGTCATCGTTGATCAAACCTCGGTTTTTGCCTCCTGTGTTTGATTTCCATCTTCACGTGTCTTGACTTCCATCGTTTGGCCTTTTTTGAGTCATCCGACGTGGTCGACGCGAATGAACGGACCAGGCGTTCGGCAAGGTGGCTGCGGAACACATCGCTGAGTATGGCGAGGGAAACGAGAAGCGCCTCACAGGCAACTGAGCACAGCTCACTGTGCCGCCGCGTTTGCCTGTCAGATCCGGGCTCGATGCTCTGAGAGCTGAAATCGCCACAGGCAAACCTATTAGGAGCGATGGCCTCCAACCTAAGAGCGATGGCCTCCAACCTAGAAGCGATGGCCTCTAACCCAGAAGCGATGCCTCCAACCTAGTAGCGATGGCCTCTAGCCTAAAAGCAATGGCCTCCAACCCAAGAGCGATGGCCTCTAGCCTAGAAGCAATGGCCTCCAACCTAGGAGCGATGGCCTCCAACAACCTAAGAGCGATGGCCTCCAACCTAGGAGCGATGGCCTCCAACCCAAGAGCGATGCCCTCCAACCTAAGAGCGATGACCTCCAACCCAGGAGCGCTGGCCTCCAACCTAGAAGCGATGGCCTCCAACCTAAGAGCGATGGCCTCCAACCTAATAGCGATGGCCCTCCAACCTAGAAGCGATGGCCTCCAGCCTAGAAGCGATGGCCTCCAACCTAAGAGTGATGGCCTCCAACCTAGAAGCGATGTCCTCCAACCTAAGAGCGATGGTCTCCAACCTCATAGCGATGGTATCAATGGTATCCATACTAATAGCAACCAACCTAATAGCAATGGCCTCCAACCTAAGAGCGACGGCCTCCAACCTAAGAGCGATGGCCTCCAACCCAGTAGCGATGGCCCCCCCAACCTAATAGCGATGGCCGTCAACCTAAGAGTCATGGCCTCCAACCTAGAAGCGATGGCTTCCAACCTATGGCTTCCAACCTAATAGCGATGGCCTCCAACCTAAGAGCGGTGGCCTCCAACCTAAGAGCCATGGCCTCCAACCTAGAAGCGATGGCCTCCAACCTAAAAGCGACCTAGAAGCGATGGCCTCCAACCCAAGAGCGATGGCCTCCAACCTAAGAGCGATGGCCTCCGACCTAGAGATTGCCTCCAACCTAAGAGCGACGGCCTCCAACCTAAGAGCGATGGCCTCCAACCTAGAAGGGATGTCTTCCAACCTAAGAGCGATGGCCTCCGACCTAGAAGCGATGGCCTCCAACCCAAGAGCGATGGCCTCCAACCTAAGAGCGACGGCCTCCAACCTCATAGCGATGGCCTCGGACCTAGAAGCGATGGCCTCCAACCCAGAAGCGATGGCCTCGCCAGTAGCGATGGCCTCCAACGGATGAGCGCAGGCAAACATGAGACCTGCGCCATCACCGACTTCAAGTACGGCGTGGCCAACCGAGGAGCTTCCATCCGCATTCCTCGTGAAACTGAGAAGGATGGTAAAGGCGGGCCAGGAGCTTTCTTTTCAAATCGGACACATTCTCCATCGGTATGTATATACTTCCTCTTTTTTCCTGTTTTGGAGCTGTCCTGGGGAGCCGAGCAAAGACTTGACTTTTCTCATTTTTGACAGGGTACATGGAAGATCGTCGTCCAGCTGCCAACTGCGATCCCTACAAGGCCGCTGAGATGTCTTGGCGTGGTTGTACTCCCTAATGTCGCGGTAGGTGTGTCTTGTTTTGTCCTTCCAACGTGCTCCTCAGACATGAGCTCGTGCAGCATGCTTGAGAAATATGCTGGTGTAGGTTTGCCATTTTGACTTTGTGTTTTCTAGCCGAGGTCACGGCAAGGATGATGAAGACCACAGGTGAATGTTTGGAAGCCAAACAAATATGAGGGTGTAGGGTCAGAGCAGGCCGTGCAGGATAGTTATATATACCTGGATCTTCCAACTATGCAAAATTTCAGCCTTTTGGCTGGTGTAATAGATGAAAAGGCATGATTTTTTCACAGTTGGAAGATCCAGGTATCCATTGTGCATTGCATGGGCTGAATTCCACTTGCAGGATGTTGCGTTCGTTCTTTGCGCAAAGACTAAGGCTTGGCAAAGTGATTGTTCTGCGGCGCCTGCGGCTGAAGCTGCTTCTCCAAAGCAAAACAATCAGGTTTAAGCCGTTACAAGTGAAACTGCTCGTCTCGAAAACTGGAGGAGCAGCTATTGTATATAGATCTAGGAACTTTGTGCTTATTTGAGTGGGAAAAATGGCATTCAGTCGATACATGTCGATACTATCCTGACAGATGCTGCACCAACCTTGATGGAGAGCATCATGAGCAGAGCATTGAGGTGTTTCGGCTGTGAGGCAACATTGCTTTTTATGATGCTGGGCAATCTTGGCATTGCCTTCAGCGATGTCGTGGTGGATGGGTTCCAAACTGAGTTTGAAACTCTGAACGACTCTGCAAGAACCGAGACTTTGCAAGGTTGGTGGTGGAGAAAGCCAGAGACAATCCCCAGTTGATGGGTGGCCTACAGTCCTTCAGCGCTAGACTCACTGGGCATCCATGCCGAAGGTATAGGAACAGTGTACAGCTGATGCAGTAGCTGATGCATGCGTACTACTTGCATGCTTTGATAATGGGAATACTATAATACTTGCTTCTAGCTACTAGTAGCGATGCCCTTGTTCCTAGTAGCGATGCACCTTGCTACTAGTAGCTTCTTGCTAGTGAGCACGTGGATCCAGGCTGGGCGTGCAGAGGTTGTGGTGCCATCCTCTCAGCGTGCCCACAAACGTTAAAACTACCATCCGTGGGACGGTGAGGGTGAACCTGTCCCAACGCAGAAACGCAGGTGTCCTGATGGTTTGGATTGTTTGGTGTGTCTTTTTGGCAGGTACTTCAGTGGAGCACTGTTAGAAACTATTGGAGTTTGGACCTCAGAGTGAACATGGCAGACTGGATTAGGTCGGCCAAGGCGACCACCTGCTCTAAGGTGCAGAACGTTTTTGCGCTCACAGCGACCCTTCCCTTTTTTGTGATCATCGCATCAGTGCCAACCTGATTCTGAGACTCACTGACCTTGAAATCTTACTGGTCTGTGTCTCACTGGTCTTGTTTGTCAACTGGGCGAGGTTTTGATCAAAGAATCCAAACAGGAGGTGCCGAATTATTCCTGGGATGAGGCAAGTGCGTCACACCTACTGTAGACCAAGTTGTCAAAAAGAGCAACTTGTTCAGGCCAAGCAAACCATGGAGCAAGTCTGGGAGGTCAGGAAGGGAGACTTTGGACATTTTTGGACCACTAGCGATGGCCTCCAACCTAATAGCGATGGCCTCCAACCTACTGTAATAGCGATGGCCTCCAACCTAATAGCGATGGCCTCCAACCTAATA